AGAAAAGGATGGCTTTGCATGGTGCTTGCAGTGCCACTCCCGTCGCACAGCTCCTCGATGCCTTGGATGCAAGAAGCCAGTGCTGGAGGATGTTGTGATAAGTGCAGTTGGAGGGCAGTGGCATGATGAATGCTTTGTCTGCCACGAGTGCGGGGATGGATTTGGTCCCGATGGTCGTTACTTCGTCCGAGAAGGGGAACCGAGAAGGACAGCCAAGGGACGCATTATCGGCGGGCCGGTCCAATTGGCTGTCTGTGAAAGATGTGAAGGTATACGGTTGAAGGCGTCGCCGTGATGTGGGTATCTGTCGGCCGATGGATCTCCGGGGTCTGAGGCTCCAACAACCGATGACTTGACGCCAGTGACATGATCATTGTGGCCATCTGCATATAAAGTTGAGCGCAGTGCGCTTAACAAGTTGCATCATCCAAGGTTATACGGCCATTGCTTTCCATATACGTTTCCCAGTTTGTTTTCTCCTATTTGTTGCGACCTGTGAATTGCATAGCATCCAGCGGGAGTCTACGATAGCGTACACTTTAGGTGAATTTATGACAGTGAATGGTTTAAAAGACACATTTTTTGCATCTTGCTAGCTGCAACCACAAAGAACCCCTAACCTGAAGGCTCTAAGTACTAATACAGGCTGCCTGCATGATTTAAAAGCCGGACCAGGGCTATTCCGGAAAAGGAAGGCAGACTGTCTTGTCATCTCGGCTCGAGGCTTCTCTCCGTCTCGCGGCAACTTGCCTGCGAGGGTGTGATTCCTTTGAACTAGCCTTCGCCATTCCCTAGATGGGCAACTAGGCAGCTTGACTTTGGCAAGATTTGCGTGTCATACGAGTGCCTCGAGTCGAGGCACCTGGATCTAGTTCGGCAAGACGGGGACGCTTGGATGTCAACCCCAGCTTTGCGGGGGTTCCCGAGCTTTTGCGGGGATCGCATCTCCATTGCCGTCATCGCATCAAATCCGCCTGTACGACCATCTATAGATTGATACGGCTCTTGCGCGGGGATCGGGAGATCTAGCTGCTGCGATATCCTTCGGATGACGTCTGATCCATGTCGAACGATGGCAGCTACAGCCACCATATCGTTTCCTTATTCGCAATGCCGGCATAGGCGTTGTGCCCTGAGCGGGCAGCATAAATAACCTGCAAGGAGTCGATGGTCTGGTGGTTGACATGTAGGCAGGCCTGTCGGACTAACTATTCCCAACTCTTCCTTCATCTCCAATGACACTTTACCTCTAATAGTCGCTTTACTCATTGTTCAGACCAGTCCTAATGGCAGAAGATTTGGATTACAAGCTCAAGTGTGACGCCTCTCTCTCAGAGGAAATAGAGAATGTGATCACCTCGCCTTTCTCTCCCGAGGAGGAAAAGGCCCTCGTGCGGAAGGTTGACTTGACTTTGCTTCCAACAATATGGATCATGTATCTGCTCTCCTACATGGATCGGACCAAGTCTGTACCCCCAATCCTCCTACACATTGCTATAAATGCCTAACTGGTCTTACTATATCAGTATCGGTAACGCAAAGATCTCGGGTATGCAGGAGGATTTGGATTTGACATCCGGCCAATATTCAATCGCTCTGGTTGTCTTCTTCATCGGATATGTTGTCTTTGAAGTTCCCAGCAAGTACGTTCCGGCTCAACAACTCGGGATTCTCACACCCCAGTGCTGACCGTTTAACAATTATATAGCTTAGTACTGAGCCACACGCGCCCTTCGTTGTTCCTAACTGGTATCATGGTCATATGGGGAGCACTAACCTGTGTGATGGGCGTGATAAAAGACTACAAACACCTTGTGGTATTGCGCGCACTGATTGGTGAGGCATCCTACTGACTCGTCTGTGGTGATATTATGTTCCTAACTATAGTAGGCTGTGTGGAAGCAGGTTTCGCACCTGGTGTTCTTCTTGTCCTCTCGTCCTGGTACAAACGGACGGAACAATCGAAGCGATTCGGTGTCTACATATCTGCTGCAATTCTTTCAGGGGCATTTGGATCTTTACTAGCGGCAGGTATTATCCAAGGTCTAGAGGGAGTTCATGGAATAAGAGGGTGGAGATGGCTGTTCATCGTGGAGGGATCTGCAACTGTGGGAGTCGCGATCATATGTGCCTTCATTTTGCCCGACTTTCCGGCCACCTCTAGGCGCTTATCAGAACGAGAGCGACATGTGGCTATCGCACGGCTAGCGACAGACAATGTCACATCTTTGACCGAAGACAGCCCGGAGTTGTCACATTGGAATGCTGTTGTCGAGTCAGCTAAGGATTGGCGGACCTGGGGATTTGTGGTCGGATATATGGTATGGTAACCCGTCGGTCATTCGCATGATGCCACAGCTCTAACTTCAAAAAGGTCATAGTCGGCTCTAGCACACTTTCCTACTTCTACCCTACACTCGTGAAGGGCCTCTTCGGGGATTCATCTACTGAAAGGGTAAACTTCCTGACAGTACCGATCTACGCAGTCGCATTTGTCTGCACCGCCATCACCGCATACTTCAGCGACAAAATCCCCCAATGGCGAGGTCTTGTCATTGCTGGCTGGCTGAGTGCATCGCTAGCTTGTTCCATTGCAGTCTGTGTTGTATACAACTATACTGCACGATATGTCCTTCTCGTACTTATGGCTGCCGGATTATGGGCAACCAACGGAGGCACCCTTGCGTATGCGTCATCGGCATTTGCGAACATGCACCCGCAAGTAAGAGGCGTCAGCCTTGCGCTAGTAAATGCATTAGGGAATCTAGCCCAAATATATGGCTCGGTATGAACATTCTTCAGATTTGTTTTGGCATTCAGGTGACTAACCGGCAGCAGTACTTGTTCCCTTCCTCCGACGGTCCGAAGTATATCATGGGGTTCTCGGTGATATCCGCGATGCTTGCTCTCGGAGTGGTTGTCTTTCTCGTGATACACGTCTGGTTTCGTCGGCGCGCGACTGCAATCAGCCATACGTGATGCTTCATGCTGGTCATGGGCTCTCTCATTGCAAGCATAGAGAAATGAAGGACTAACGACAGATGGAGATGATGTTATGATTATTAGCCTGTGAAAGTGCTTTACGAAGCTAGCATTCGGGAGTTATGTGTTTCTTATATTCCCTAAACACCCCTGAATTCTCACAAATTCAGAGCAATCGACGTCCAATACCACTCTGCTGCACTTGAAGTCTCCTCTGAGCCAAGATCAGCCACTCTACAACGTGCCATCCCTGGCATTGCAATATATACTATCGAAAGCAACACACCCACAAGAATATATGAGCACATATTATAACAAACAACCATCCAAATCATGTATATCAGTATTAACTTTTGTTAATCTCGCAACAAAACATCCACGCCATAGATCTATACGAGCCAAAACAGAAACACATAAAAATCAAGCCCACTCCGGATCCTCCTTCCTCCTAAACACAGCAACATACTTATTACCCTTATTCCTCGTAACCTTCTTGCCCTCCTCCGTCGCCTCCTTCATAACCTTGACACACTCATCCTTCTCCAACTCCTCCTCCGACACCCTCTCAAACAACTCCTTAACAGTGGGGCCCTCATTCTCCGCCTCCTCAACCGCACTCTCATCCCGGAAATGTCTCAAAATCCAATGATGATACTCCTCCACATCCGTAATGGTGTACAACAGACCACCAGGGCGCAGCGCATACGCATACTCTGCATTCAAAGTCTCCGAGATAATGCGCGCCTTGTGCTTCCTCGCCTTGAAGTGCGGGTCCGGGAAACAGATGAAGATCTTCGACAGCTGGTGCTTGTTGAAGAAGTTCGGGAAGAACTTCATCGTGTTGCTCCGGATCGCTGAGATGTTCTGGTATCCTCCGGGGACGAGGGCCGCGCTGGCGTTCGGGTCGGGATGCGCTGGGGCATCGGTGGGAGTATCGACGGCGGAGTCAGCAGGGGTGGTAGGGGCAGGGGTGGAAGTCGAAGAGGTAGGTTGAGACTGTGATTGTTGTTGTTGTTGTTGCTGTTGTTGTGTCTTTTGTTGCTGGTGCTGTTGTTGCACGCGGAGAGCTTGGATACGGGTGTTTAGGTATTCGAGGACGGCGATGCGGATTTCCATTCCTAGATTGAAAGGTTCAGTTCAGTTCCGCTCAGATCGTTTCACAATCCATGACTTGTGTGAGAAAGAATGATGTAGATAGATATACATACCGACCATCAATGTCTCCGGCAACAACCCCGCCAGACCGACAAGCAAACCACCAAATCCACATCCGATGTCCACGACCTCCACATCCTTAAGCAGCTTTCTCGTTCCGATCAGGTTCGTCTGCGTGGCGTCGGGGTTCACGAAAGCAGGAAAATGCGATGCCCAGTCCATATGCGCCGGGCTGAGGGGACTATACAGAGAAGAAAAAGTTTAGCCCGAGACTTTCATTCCATTCCACTCCACCACGCCATTGGCCTCATTCACATGCCACAATGAGCAAGAAGTAACAACATACTAGTTCAACTGATGATCCGAGAACGGATTCGCATGCGCCCGCTGACGATAGAACTTCTTCTTAGGAAGCTTGACATGGCCCACGGGGGCGGACTCATCCGGTTGCGCGACGACCGCTTCGGCGGCTTGTTTGCGATACTCGGCGCGCTTTTGGCGCTTGGCGGGAGGTTGAGACATTGTGTATCTGAAGAATAATTGAGGGTGATGAGGAAAGTTGGGAGAAACTTGTTGGAGAAACCTATTGAGAAGGTGGGGGTGCGCTGCGCGGTGCGGTGCGGTGCTGCGGAGGTTGCGGAAATTTCTAAGGCGGAGAAGTTACGTTAGTTCCATTAAGGTGGGTGGGCGGTAGATAATCTACTGACGTCCTTATCGATCACCACCACCACCACTACAACTATCGCTGTCAACGTTACAATTAGCCAACCCATACTATATTCCGAGTACTATTCCACAACAGCAGAATACAGTCCTCAATCCTCTATCCCAATAGCCTTCATATACAAACACCCACCAACAAAATGACAAGCACAGCAGCTACAACATCAACAACAACCACCCCACCCTTCCAATTCCCCCTCACCTACTCCTTCCCAGCCTTCTTCACCCCCCAACCCAACAGCACGACACGCACCTCCCAACTCCAGAAATGGTCCTCCCTGATCCAATCCTGGTGTCGGCATCACCGCGTCTACCGATTATCGTTAATCGAAGCCATCGAGTCCCCGTTATTTCATAATGCGACGCTCCGGAAGCGCATATCGATGAGCGATGCGCGGGATATTCTAGACTGGATGGCGAAGAGTGAAGAGGAAGGTGGGGGTGGGAAAAGAGCGGAATGGATTGATGGTGGGAGTAAGAGTGTGGCGTGGATTTGGTGGAAGAGGCCGGAGGAGTGGGCTGGGTTGATTGCGGATTGGGTATGTGTTCTGTCATTCCATATTATCTTCTTTTGAGATGTTGTGGGGAGTCTGGGGGGTAAGGAGGGATTTCGATTGCTAATTGCTTGGATTTTGTTGTATAGGTGGAGAACACAGGCCAGAAAAATGTGGTGCTTACGGTTTATGAGTTGTTGGAAGGGGAGGCTACAATGCCGCAGGGTAGGTTGACTTGCTTTCGCTTCTTGCTTTTTTAATTTTGGTAGTATGGCATGATGGCTAACGGCTGGCTGGAGTAGAATGGCATGGGATGGATCCCGATGTGATGCACAAGTCCCTCAACGTTCTCGTGAAACGGGGCAAGGCGCAGGTCTTCGGTAGCGAGGGCCAGGAGGGTGTCAAGTTCTTCTAAGGATTGGGTAGGTCATCTGGCCTACTCACAGCATGCGGTCGGCAGGTGGCTCCATTCGGAAGCAATGTTCATTGACGACGCTGAGAATACGGCAACTATCTTCATGATAAAGTAAGGGATATACAAAAACCAGATAATGTCCCCGAAAGAGCTATACGAGTTTCCCGCTGTTCATAACAAGCAAATATGTTTCAACACAGCACTCCTAACACCGTGCTCAAGAGCCAGCTACTGCTCCATCTTATCTGCCATCTCCTCGTCCAGCTCATATGCATCTGCCGCGCGCAGTGTTTGGGACATGGCAATATCAAGAAGCCAATCCACCCGGACTATCCGTGGTGTTTTGCCTCTGTTTAGGACCATCTGGCGGAATCGCGGCCACAGCTTGGTGTGGTCTGCAGAAGTGCTACTCAGCAGATATACCTCCTTTCGGCTGCGATCATCGTCTCCAGAGCTCTCGTCACTCTCCTCGCGCTGTGAGCGGTATGAAACGCGACCACGGAAGAGAGAGCATTCTCCTCCATTAGCATCCACAATGGACTTGAACGCATCAAATCCACCACGGATAGTTTCGACGCAGTGTATTTGATACCCTTGCAGGAGCTTGTTCTTGTTCTTTTTGGCGTTCATCTTTGCTTCCTCCAGGGAGAATCCATATTTCTTTTCCGATGCATCGTCTTTTAGTGGGAAATCAGCGGGTTCCAGAAGTTCGTCTTGTTCGAGGCATTGCGTGATGAAATCAATGCTCACAATAGCCGGGCCGTATGCAAGCGCGTTGACGAACTTGGGAGTCCGCAGGATAGAGGGGGCAGCAAGATGGGAGCATCTCCGGGCGTCTTGGACAACCAAGATGCCAAGCTCACGGAGCTGGCGCTGCTCACAGTCAGAGGGCTTTCTCAGTTACAGACATGTACAAAGAGGTGGACAAACCTTATCTGAGTCTTCCTTCTTCGGATTCCCAACCCATTTTTGATACCCTGTAATTAGAAGATGCATCGCGACAGAGGGCTTGCCCTTCTTCTGTCTCTTTGCTTCCGTGCTGTCCTCTTCATCGCTCTTGTCTTCCGCTTCCATGGAACGCCGCTTCTTGCCATTGTTGAGCGTGACGCGATCCTCGTCTGTCTTCCGTCGACCACCATAGATCACGCCACCAACACGCTTCTTCTCTTTCTCGTACAACGCAATGTCCGGTGCGATCTCGTGCAATCGAGCGGTAGCAGCCTCCTTTGATTTCCGACTACTTGTCGTAGATGGCGTATCATTCTCCTTGCCTTCAGACGTAAGCCGGGCACGCGCCGGTGTTTGTAACTTCTGATTTTCACTTGTAGCTGTCTTGCGCGACTTTCCAACCGCTCGCGGTGTTGCAATTTGCGGCTGCTGCGGTACCTCACTCTCGGATTCTGTCACTTTCGCCGACGGTGGTTGCATGGTATCCGATGACTTTGCAGCGACGGTGTTCTGTTCCTTGGTCTGCATCGCCCGTCGAGGGCTCTCTTGCTCTCTGGCTAAGCTTTCACTCTGGAAGAATATACTTTCGAGGACCGTTCTGTCAAGTCTGGTCTGCCCAACAACTTCGCCTAAATTCGTCCTCTTAGGGAAATGAGTGTAGCGCGGATCAGAAACGGGTTGCAGCTTCCACTTTGCGTAACTCTCCTCCAACCATAAGTGGTTAACGACCTGCAATCCCCACTCCTTTGCGGCGGCGCATTTCTCGCTGTTGCCATGAGCAGTCACAAGATGCGTATTCTCCTGCTTTAGCGTTTTGGTGCATTCTGCGCCTGTCGCGGTGATCAGGTTCTCCAGGTATGCTCTGGCTTCGCCAACATAGTTGGACAAACTGATCTTGAATCCCTTGAAGCCTGGGATTCCGGACCGCGAGACAGGATAGTGTAGTAATCGCCGTAGAGGGGATGTCCAGGTGTTGTAGGTCATCAGGTGGTAAAGCCACGATAGGTTCCCGACGTCCTTGTTCAGCCTAGATGCCATGCGGTATGCGAACCCCTCTCTATAGCGACATATCAAGATATCCGCCTTTGAGACATCCGTCGTGATGGAGCCGCCACCATTCTTAATGATATCCTCGATGGACCCGAGAAGACGAGGGCCAATACCGAGGTCTGTTGATAGCATGACATTCTTATCTTGGAATACAGTAAGCGCCGGCTGCGCGTCGGGCGATTTGACAGACGAGGGAAGGTTAGCTGGGTTCGTCGTGGATGCGCCGATGATGTCACGATTTTCTGAGGAACGGATAGGTGCATCTGGCGCCGCGCGGAGAATTTCGGGATCGGGGAGGGTATATGGACGCTCGTCGATTCTTCGACCAAGTTTCAAGCAGTCGTCGAACCTATGTATGGAAGCCATTGTTAGATCGGCCCAGTCCCCTCATGTGGCGATCCGTCTTACCAGTGCGGAAGCACTATCTTGATATTCAACTTTTTAGCGGCGATTAATCGAGCCTTATCGGACTCTGCGGTCAAATCAACCAAATGCGTGACCTGCTGGGAGACCTTTGGGCTGTAGATTCCACCTTTCGCCAGAACACCACCGATAATAGCTTCCTTATCGCCTCCAGGTATATCACCGCATGTGATCACTACATCGTTCAAGAAGAGCCGCGGGTCAGGGCTATATTGGCGCGGATTTGCTAGCTTTCTCTTCGCTAAGCATGCATGCACCCAGTGTGGTTTGACAACCGGTATCAGGGCATCGCCGGCCGCGTCGAATGCAGGAAAGTCAATCGTGCAGGAGATGAGGTGGGTGAAATCGGAGAGAGGAGGGAAGGTGGCTGGCGGCTCATAGATCACAGTTTCACCGCCATGTTCTTCGAATGTAGATGCGAGCTATTAGACAATGGTTCGTTCATTTAGCCAGAGTAAAATGCCAATATATCGAAGGCTGTGGCTACCATACCTGATGTGCTGTATCAGCACTGAGATCTTTGGAGCATATGATACAGACTTTGCACTGGCTGAAGAGTTGAAGCTCTCCTCCCTGCTCAGCCATTGTGTGGATATTTGCCGGTCAGCACGAGAGTATGTTCAGTGTGTAGTGCGCTTTGAGAGGAGGTAGTAGCATTGGGCGAAAGTTACGTCCGGCTTGAGAGAGCAGTCGTCTTTTGCCTCTTGTGGCTTTGCGATGCGACGCGCAGACGCGCCGACACGACACCAGGTCACGTGTAGATAAGATACGTCGAAGATCGTCGTTTTGTGCTGTCAGGCACGTCTTATCCACGTCGTCCTGGTCATGTATAGAATATAATATGAGCTTTTGAAACTGTAAGCTGTGATCCTGATGATATGTTGTTGATGTTATGGTCTTGCGGACAAACAATAAGTAGGGAAGCCGCGGCGGCATGTCTCGGAAGGAAGCAACTAGTGAATCAACTTCCCATGTGGGTACATCTATGTAGATTGCAGTGTGGTGAATCAGTAGTGATTGGGGTCCATAGTGTTTTATGTACGGACCTTCGTAGTCCTGGAATGGTGGAGTAAGCAGTGATAAATATGGTTGTTCAAACCAACTTCTTTAGTAGCTTCAATAATAGTCGGTGATTGCTTAAGGAGCAGTACTAACTCCTAGCACGGCACCAGATATATATTGAGTTCTACCCTACTACCTTGCGAGGCTCGCAAGCCCACCCGCAATCTGTTAACTGATCTTACTAGGTACAGAATCTTGTGTACTTAGCGATAACCGATGAAAAATTCCATAAAAACAGAATCCATTTATGTCATACATCATATAGTGCACATATAGGGCTTGTGCCAAAGCAAAAAAGACAAAAAGATATGACAAGAGTGGGATTCGAACCCACGCCATCTTACGATGATCAGGAAGCTGTGAAGCTGGGTATTAAGGTGGACCTTAACCTGACGCCTTGGACCAACTCGGCCATCTTGCCTGTTGATATGTTAAGGGACGTCTACTTTGACATTATCAATGGCAAGACAAGTGCAATACGTATAACCCGATCCCCCCAGCCGTAACCGTTACTCTGTATCGTGACTAGTGGTATCAGCCGACCATTCACGTTCCCCGCTTGACATTACAATCCATCAAGGGATCGGCCATTTTTCCCCGGTCGCTCTTGATCCTGAGCCTCGGCTCATCGTCAGCCCCGGCAGTTCCAACCCTCCGATCCGGGGAATAAGTGCTCCCCCTTGCTTTTGATCCATATATACCAGAGTCGCCGTGGAGTCGTACGACACTACGAAGTTCACTTGATTGATTCAAAATTAGAAATGTCGTTATCTTCAAATTCCTCTGGTCCCTTTCGGGTCGTTGAGCACAACGTCGAATGCCAGCATATCAGGGAGTATCCCGCGGCGACGGCAAATGGCCAAGAAGATGTACTAAACCTGGTAGTGAAGCAATATATCCCGCTCGATAACCCCAACCCACAGCCAGGGGATGTAACGATTCTTGCTGCGCATGCCAATGGATTTCCCAAGGTTTGATGACATCGCAATGCCGAATTAAAGTGACAGTGGCTAATCTATATACAAGGAGCTCTATGAGCCTCTATGGGAGGAGCTATACGCTCGATCAAAAGCAAAAGGCTTCCGAATTAGAAGTATATGGATGGCAGATGTCGCGCACCAGGGCGAGAGCAGTGTAGTAAATGAACACCTCCTGGGCAACGACCGTACGAAACCAACCCTTTTCTTTTCTCGTCAGCTGCCGGAATAATGCTAACGAGGTGCATATAGCCAGCTGGTTCGACCATCCCAGAGACCTCCTTCACCTTATCAACGTCAAACGCAAAGAAATGCCTCGGCCCATCGTCGGGATAGGACATAGCATGGGCGGTGCACACCTGTATGCTTTCCCAACCCAACCCCACCACGAACCCATAACCTAACGCCTCCCACAGCGCACAGCTATGCCTTATGCACCCACGTCTCATCCACAGCCTAGTCCTCCTGGACCCCGTAATACAACGTGAATCCACCCAGCTCGACGGGCTCGAGATGGCCATGCGACAAAGACAACGGATC